TGGTGTTACAAAAAGTGCCATTTCAATAATTTATGAACATGCACAGATTTGTCTGTATCAAAGAACATGGAATCGTATTACATGATGCACAATCAGATTTCAGCAAGGTGCATTCCATAAATCTCAAACTGCAAATTGTGCCGTTTTCCAATTAAAAAAAATCAGTTGTTCCTACCAATATTGCTAGTTTCAAACATATTATTAAATGAGTACATTACTTTTAAAAGTTTTCCATTTCTATTTAAGTCTTTTGAGCAATCCATCCTTCTGTAGTTTTTCATTCTAGAAATTACAATTTCACTAAATTAAAAACCACCACTATGAAAAAAAAAAGACTACTGAATCACGGAGTGCTTATTTACAAAATGTCTAATTTCACACCAACATCTCTATTTTGAAGGCAAAGAAACTAAGCCTTTGCAAGAGCCCGCCTTACCATTCAAAATCAGCAGCTTAGAACAAAGACAAGGCAACTTCCCAATTATATAGCTAATATTTCACCAGAATTTCTATTTAGTCTTCAGAACTAAACACTTCAAAATTGAGGATGAAAACAAAAATCCTGAATCTTGGTGCTCAGGTAGGAATGAAAAAGCAGTTGTCACTGCCTTGAAGGTAAAGAGGGTTCTGATACTTCCTAATTGTTTAATACAAAGGCAACTCCAACTTGCTTGAGTAAACCTAGACAAACTACACAGGGCTCCTCAGTAGTGCAATTGTCAGGTGTTTAACAGCCATGCCTCCTTTTCGTCTTCTTTCTGTATTAAGTGTGACTCCGGCGCTCTCTCATGAAATCTCATCTGGGCATATGAGAAGTCCGAGTGCAAAGCGGACCGCAGACATTTTTGCGGAAGTAGTGGAAAGCCCAAGTGCGCTACTGGGAAAGATTAAGCAGCAGTTGCATCCTTCCCCATAACTTTAGAGATGTCCATAGCTTCAGTCAGGCTTTACCTTCACCAGTCAGACAGCGCCATTGGTAGACTTGTGACTCCGACCACAGCGTATAAGCCAAAAAAAAAAATCAACCAGAGCACTGTTCAGGAAGACAAGTTAACATGTTGTTAATTGAATGGAACAAATTACTTCATTAGTGAGGTGAGATTATCATAAAATACCATTATGCACTACTACACTTCACTTGTATTGTGTTCAGAAGCACAGATGGTATTTTAACAGAACCACCAGACATTCCAAGCAAGCAAAGCTGATTCAAATCCAAACTTGAGCTGGATCTTCTCCTTCTCCACTTGTGTTTTTCAAAAATGTAACACAAAGTGATTATAAATGAAGATAATAGCTTATATATAGCACAAGCAGATAACACCACGACCCACGAGAAGCAAATGTTTCAGTTTCAATTGGATGAAAATTGGATGAATTTTAGTCCAAAAGGATGTGTAATCTAGACCCACATCAATATTTTCCACACCTATTTTGGTAAAAAAAGTAATGTCTATCAAAATACTGAGGACATGCTTTTAAAAAACAGGACTATGGATGCCATGATCAGAAAGGTAGCTTTTCATAAGGCCTCTCAACTTTACAAGTGCAACTTGGATATCCTACACCCTGTAAATTTTCATGACCAACAGGGAAGTTTACAGCTCAGCAACGCTGGGTATGTGTAAATCCCTAGAATATAAATAAGTAGGGAATCAATATTCAGTCAAGAGAGAAGCTAGCATATTACATACAAATGCAAGGATGTTACCTAAAGTTACCTTAAATTCACAGCACATTTTACATTTGGGCAATAGTGCTTTTTAGCAAGTGGTATTGTTGGGTGCTATTAGAAGCTCATCCATAGAGCCTGTTTATACTGCAATCAAAGAATCACCCAAAATGACATTTGCTCTTCTAAGCTTAATGTAGGCATCCTCTATAGTCCAACACACAAAAGTCAAATAAGTGCTCCTGTCACCTCATCTTGCCATTTATGATCATGAATTAGTTCTACAAGATCTCTTCTTTCCAGGTTTCTCTGTCACAGCATAGCAGAAAACTAAACACTAAGGAGAATGCCACTCAAGTGATAGAGTAGAGGATGAAGAACATGTTTTTCAAAGCATGCTACAACACACATGGTCTCCAGATGGGTATGCAACAGACTTATTTGCTAATGAAGTTAAAAATAACACTATCTGCACCACCTAGACATAATAATAGGAACACACCATCTTGATTAAGTAGTACAGATTCTAACCTAAGCAAGCGATGCAAATATATGATCAGTCACAGAACATTTAAGAAACATGACAGATTGGGACTGAATGTTAATTTGCTTTCACTATTTTCCAATAAACAAAACATTTTAAAAATCTTAGAAACTGTAATTGCACACTACTGACTGAAAAATCAATCTTGGAGAAACGCCAAGGTGAATTCATACAGTAGATCCAAGAGCCTTGAGACCAACTACTTTTTAAGGCTTCGTGCCTCCATGCCTTTTAACTGTACAGTTGACTTGTGCTATACTTTAAAATAAGAGCCAGGAGACCTGAGCAATGAGAAATCGTTCAGAACAGCCCCAGCCAAATCTAGTGGAAGGGTCAAATTCTGACACAAAGGGATGCAGCAATAGGGACAAGACGGATGCAATGCAGAGATTTTGAAGTCCTGAGGGCTCATTTACACCAGGCTAGACTGATCAGTAAGCAAAACAGTTTGTGAGGGAATTAACTTAAAAATAGTTTCAAACACGTGAAGGCCATTTGATACTACCTTTTTGGTAACTAGTTAACTGACAAAGATCTCATCCAGCCATTTTTTGATGGAAGCCCAGGTATCACCTTCAACCACATGGTCAGGTCACTTGTTCTATACTCTCACCAGCCTTTGCATAAAAGAGTGTTCTCACATTTGCATTCGTGTAAATACCACATTAACCCTGAAATGATTCCAAATTACTTCTGTCTGGGTAGGTATTATAGCTTCAAACCTCTGAATAAAGCCCTATTAGGAACTGTATCCATTTTCTCTGGAGAGCCCACAGTCAGCTACTTCAATGGTTATAAGGGAGATATCACCTCAGCAGGGGATGCAAACAGACATGAATATAAACCAGAAAAAATCAAACCAGGTTGCTAGAAAAACATCTAGTTGTGCCAATAGCACTTTCTGGTAAAGTTATTGGGTTTAAAACTGCTGAGGCAAGACTCCAATAGCCTGACTGTTGTTCCAAATTATACCCTTACGCAAATGAGAGCAAACTCATAACTCAAATACCCGAGAAACATGTCGAATGCTTGCCTATAGATAACTGCAAGAACTATGAATTATTAAACTACTTAAGATATAAATGTGCTTATGATATCCCATCTGTAAATCTTCTCGCAGAGCCTATAACAGTGTATATCTACAATACTGCAAGAAAGAAGAAAGCTTAATACACACTTCCCAATAGAAGTTTAAGGACTAGTAAATCTGATCAAATGGAAGGATTTTTTAAATTAAGAGACCAGTTAAATTGTGCTTCTAAAAATGCATCTCTACCTCAGTCACAGTATACTGCCATCTAGACTTACTGCACAAGTGAGTAAATGCTTTCAGCTCCAACAGTATATAGGATCGTCCTTTCTCTGAAGTGCAAAGTATTTTGGGGGGCATGGTATTCTAGGAAACTACTGAAAGGGAAAAGAACAGATTAGGAGGAAAAAATGTAAATACAATGTGACCCTAACATTAGCACTTTGAAGTGCTAGTGAAGGACAAGTACACTGATCCGTAAAAAGAGCAGACTTTAAACTACACAAAACAGGAACACTCTACATGTACACCACGGGCAACTTTGGCTTTTGAAATTTTTGCAGCCAGTCATTTATCTAAATGATGTTCCAATAAATAATAAGACTCCAACAAAACAGCTGGAGCAGCTTTTCTGTGATGAAAGAGGTCTTTTTCGCAGCAAATACACATTTACAATTCTTCAGCCAAGCATGAGTTCTGAAAGAAACCAAATCAAGTTAGTGTGAATTAAATGAATTTAAAAGCATGCATCCATCACAAAGTAAGACTACCTTTATATGGAAAAAAACCTTTATCATGGCTTAAAATACAACAGGAATTATAAAGAAACCACTCAATTTCAGCTTTACCTACATATGTTGTGATAGAAAAACAATAACGCACTGAACATCCTCATATGGTAGGGTATGAAATTTATCCTACTTCTGGACAGGAACTAAATGAAGATTTACACAGTGGTCCCCCCACTGGGGTGAGATACTTCTTGTATTTTAATTTGTGCTGATGATCGACAGCTGCTCATAGCCTTTCACCGTGAAAGCAGAGAAGCTACTTGCAACTAGTAAGGAGAATAGGAAATTTTTAGAAACATGGAATTGTTTACCTTTGTTTTTGAACTTTTAGTAGCTACACTGTTAATATCAGTTTAGTGTAGAGTTTAAAAAGCAATTTAGTTCTACTGACACACTGGGAGGGAGTTATTATAAACCACCCAAGCAATGAATGAAAAGTTATGATTTCAATGCATATATAGAACTATACTGAACAGTTCCGACTCAGGTCATTGTAAAACCTACAGAAAGCCCTGGTGTCTTGCAGTGTACATGCTTATGACCAATTTTTCTATCCATTTAAGTTTATCCGATTAGAAATGCACTTCATTCATGCTGATTAGAACATTAAACTACTCCTTCACTTTCAAGGGAAATATTTACGAAGTGCATCAGCTACAAGGACATGATGCCTTTAATGATTTTAAAAATCATTACTTAAGGAATCATATCCAACAAACACTGTCAAAATACAGTGGTTCTTTTACTTTCATGGCAAGAAAACTTCACAAGTTGCAGCAGCCCTAAAATTGAGTGGTTTCATCACAAAATCCTCTGAACTTTATGGGACATATCGAAAACACTGGCACTTAGCTCCCCTTTGCTTCTTAAAGGGGATTAAAAGAGCAAGAGTTTGTATATAGTACCTCAAGGAGTAATACAGCACCATGTTCTGGCAGGAACATCTGTACAGCTCAGACTTACCTGACTGAAGGTTGGCTTATTGTGCAACCTGGAACACCGGTCTCCATGACGACAAGCCCCAATTTTAAAGTAGAACGAACAATTGACTCTGTTTCAAAAGGAAAGGAAAATAGAAACACACTGAGGCCGGAATCCTTAAGCATCATGAGACTATCATGAGCAAATTGGATACTTTTAACAAGAATCAGGCAAGCTCAAACTTACCACAGGAGTGGGATGCTGGAATGAGAAAACTTGAATGCATATGGCCAAACAACCACACACTACTCTTAAACCCAGATCCCTGGAGAGGGAATTCTCCTGCAACGCCTTGTATGGACACCTTGCTTTCTTTGGGGAAATTATTTATGTACATCTTCAACTTAGCCTAACCTAGAAATGGAGGCTAGGAGAAGCGTGAGGTGAGAGAGATATAGGAAATGATCTTCAAAATTCATTGGCACTTAACACTTAAATATGGAAAACAAAGGCAAGGGTATATTTTAACACGGACATCCATTATTTACATGGTTCTCCAAAACACCTTTTCCACAACAGCTCTGCAGCAGTTTCAGGGTACCTGCACTGGCATGTTGTGGTGAGCCCCGATTCTGTCAATACAGGGATCCCCAATACAGGTTATGCCACATACAGAAGACCTATAAAGCACATGATGACTCAACCAAGTATTTTATTCAGTTAAGACAATGCTGTTACTTGTGGGCCGAAAGACCTACATTTATAGTCCTCAGTGATCCGTTAAACAGGTAGTTTGCATGTCTTTAGAAATTTGGTGAAGCAACAGTCGCCACCAAACATTGCAGGCTGGGTGCTCTTCAGGGCCACAACCGAATATTCCCTAACAAGATGATTGTGAAAAAACGTGATACAAGTATTCAAAATCCAAACGGGCACTTACAAAGTCAACCCAGCACACTCAGTCAGAATCAGTTAAACAAATCAAAAGACAAGTGAAAACAAGATGGATGTGTATTAAAAACTAAGAACAGTGTGCAGCTCTTTACATAGGAAACAAGCTACATAGATGTGTGTGAAGTTACTAACAATTTCAGAAATGGATGGATGAGAGCCTTAGATCAGTTAACTACCAAACGGGCCAAAGGCTCTCCTCTCCTTTGTAACTGTTTCTCGTTCTAGTTCTTAACTGGACTGCTACAACTGGAATGAATGGGAAGCAAACAAAAACAAGAGAAATAAAACAAAGCTTATAAACAAGAGGGGGCCATTAAGCCCACGCAGGGAAAAAAGTTTAAACAAAAAGCAATATTTGTTTAAGAACAGACAAAGAGATGACTTGCGATCTACAACTATCACGTAACAAACGTTTTTACTAAAGTAAAACGTGGACTTCAGTGGGCTTGATTCGTCGTTCTTCAAAATAAAACCACTAGCCCCCCCAACCCAATACACACACCAAAACAATGAGCGACATAACCCAAGAACCATAACCTAGAAATGAAGCACCTTATCAGTTGTCAGTCATACACAACCTTTAGTTTTTCCACTCACAACGAGTGAACTTTGTTTAGAAATCCCAATCCTAGTGATCCCCTGGGAATGAGGCACGCACCCCAATCGCAGGTAGCCAGAAGTCTTGGCCTAGGTTGTTTTAAAGAACTAAACACACGCAGCACGAAGCAATTGCAATTTGAAAGAAGCATCCACGTTTCTCTTTCATGTATCCTTCCTGTGGCGTTAGACGGCGCTACAGTCAATTCTTAATTGATTCACACGTCTTCTGATTTATTCAGAACAACGGTTTGATGTGATTATTTTCTAAAAAAAAACTCGCATGTAATACAATAATAAATCCAGCAGCTGGGACTTTTTTCTCGATATACCGACACCGAAACAGTCTCCCCTCAGCCAGTTGGAACTTGCGCGGCGGTATCCTCCCACCAAGGAGCGGGTCAAGAGCTAAACCCCGTGCCTTTTGAGCGTCTAAATGTGCACAGTTTAGCCGAATTCCACCTCAGGCACAGTCGAGTATCGGTTTTCCGCGGCCCTCCAGAAGCGGCCTGACGGCGTTGGCTCCCCGGCCCCAGGGGAGCGTGTCTTCGGACACAATGGCGGAGCAAGGCCGCAGGGACCTGCGGGCCAACTGGTGCAGCTCCCGCCGCCTGCGCCGCCGCCTCGTCCTCACAGTCAACTTTGCATCGCCGGCCGGCGAGTCTTTATCTCTCTGCTGCGGGCGAACCAAGACCGCGGAGGCCTTAGTCCTCCACCCCCACCAACATCAGCAACATGGCCCTCTCATGCGCCGCCGGACCCAAGCGCACCAAAACTAAGAATTTAGGACGCTTCCACCAGCACTTCACGAGATACTTTTAAAATAGGACAATATGTCAAGCTACTACTTCGACTGCGTGCGTTTTGTGGAGAAAAAAAACAACAAAAAAGACTTACTTGTCTTTCTCTGTACCAAAAATGGACGCCAAATACTCCGCCATCTTCGCCTCCTGCAGCAGCAACTCGCGGCCGCGCGCTCTACGTCATCAACTATAAGCTCCCGCGCAAGCCCCGAAGTCCTGTACCGTAAAGTCTGTTTTACAAGCGCACCACAATCCGAATAGCAGCGCATTTCACAGTCTGGCATAGGGACTGCCCGTGTTTTTAGGCGATGAACCATTTTTCATTAAACCACGATTGAGAAGAGCCCAGTATATAATCAGGGAAATGTAGGGTTTTTATAAATACTGCTGTTATGTAACTTTCAAATAGATTTATTCAAGTGAAATTTAACCATTC